CAATATGCATGGCGCTGCTTGTTGTGGGCGAGTTCGGGCAGGAGGCAGCCAGACACGAATTTGCGGACAATCATTTGCGTGCGCCAAGGCATGGGGTGAGTGTCCTTCGCGGGTGCGCATGGTTGCGTGCAGCCACCACAGGAAGTGGGTTGGGCTCTTCGTAATGCTGCGTGCAGCGTGCTGCGGGTTGTAGACGTGTTCGGCAGCAGACAGCCAGGTGAGGATACAGTTTCGAGCATTTGTGCAGACCATGGCATCAGCCACGGTGAGTGGCTTTCCCTTGTGCGTGTCGCGATGTTGCTCAGCCTGAGGAGGTACGTTTGTGGCTAGCGATTAGAGCGTGCATTATGGTCCCCGTTGTTGCGTTGGTCTAGCTGCAGCCGGGTACGACTTGGTGTTCCAGGCTTTGCAGGCGTCAAGTTGTCGGGGAAGGCGAGCGCTCTTTGTGTGTTGGCCTGGGTGCATGTTTCAACCCGGGGCAGTACGTTTGCTAGTGCCGATAAGAATATGCATGGCGCTGCTTGCTGTGGGCTTGTTCGAGCAGGAGCAGGAGGCAGCCAGACACGAATTTGCGGACAAGCATTTGCGTGCGCCAAGGCATGGGATGAGTGTCCTTCGCGTGTACGCATGGTTGCGTGCAGCCACCACAGGAAGTGGGTTGGGCTCTTCGTAATGCTTTGTGCAGCGTGCTGCGGGTTGTAGACGTGTTCGGCAGCAGACAGCCAGGTGAGTATACAGTTTCGAGCATTTGTGCAGATCATGGCATCAGGCACGGTGAGTGGCTTTCGTCGAATAGTCTAGCTGCTGCCGAGTAGGACTTGGTGCTTTAGCAGTTGCATCCATGAAGGTGCTGGCCAAGGTGTGTGCCTCTTGTATCTTCGCCTGGATTGGTTCGGTCAAGCGGTGTTGTGGAGAACTTTGTCAAGTCATTCGATTTGTCCTTCCGAACATCTGACACTGGACGTTTTCATGCGCTTTCACGCAGAGCTGGCCTATCTAAGTGACGTATTGGGTATTGCTGTTGTATTCTACCGACTTGCCCGAGCATAACGCCTATATTTGACGCTTGTTTTGTTCGCCGGTTGCGGCCTCTATGATACTACTAAACGCAGGATGGGTGGCGACGGCAATCAGCACAAAGGTGGACAGCGCAAGAATGCTGCCGATGGCGGGCTTCTGTCGCGCCGATAATTCCGTGATGCAGGAATGCCGCGGATATTTTGCATTGTGAGGCACTGACAGAGTGCCCAAGCGCTGATCAGCACCGCACATTGGTGCGTGCAATGAGCAGTTTCAAGTGCGTATTGTTATGAACTGGTTTCTCCCACTGCAGTGGTCCTCTTGAGAATCTGGGACTGTATTGAAGAAATTTTGTTTTGGGGCGTTTTTGTCGGAGTGTAGAGCTGGCCAGGCAAAGCTAAGCGTGGGGTGTTGATGCTCCGAGACGTTTATTTGCTCGCTAAGGCTTGGTGGCCATGTTTCTGGAAACAACAGCAGAACTGGCTGCTCAGTGGCAATGCGCGACAGCGGGGGCGTGGGTACCACGATCACCAAACAAGTCAGCAGCGCAGTAATTTTGCGCATCGCTGTTTGCGTCTCGCTGCTTCTTCGGTGGCGCAGCAAATGGGCAGACCCTGACAGATGTCGGCGCGTGGGAGCGCATATGGTCACCACATGGTCGAGCATGTGATCGACAGTCTCAAATGCGGGTTGTCAAAAATTGGACTCTTCCACCTCACTGATCCTTTGGAAAGCGTTGCGCTGCACTGGAGAAGTTCGTTGTTGAGTAGATCTGTCGTAGCGTAGAGCTGTCTACGCAAGATGGGGCACCACGTTTTGGCTTCCGGGGAAGCCCATGTT